TTCTCTCTGGCTTTGATGGTCCTAAATTCACTGACTTTATATCTTGCTAAAAGTTGACTTCAGAGATGTGCTGGTCTGATTTGTCTTATTTTTTTTCTAAGATTTCCTCTGAGGTCCCTTTCCCCAACTCTGACAGTCTGAGTCTAACTGGCAGAAAAGAGAAGCAAAGTTTGTCATTCACTTTAATTCTCTCTGACAGCCAGATGATCCGGCCATCAGTCTGAATCTGGGGCCAGGTGCCAGAGAGTGACTGTGAGAGTTAGTGGAGATAACAATCCCTCTGCAGATCCTGTGGCCACTGAAACAGAGAAAGTTCCACCTGATCGGGTCTATTTTAAACTCAAGGCAGCTGTATTGAGAGCAAGGCTGCATCCCTGAAGACCTCACATAAATCTGAGCTTGCATAATTCATGACCAACCCTGACCAAAGATGATGGACATTTTTTTGACAGCTAAAGTGGCCCAGCTATGTGGCAATAGCTTAGAGAGAGCTTACAACTTACACGGCTCACCATAAAGCGATTTTTGATCAGTTAGAGGATAAAATAGCCACGAAGCTGAGTTTGAAACCCAGAAACATCATTTGTGGGCTATGAGATGCTGAGCAAATTCCAAGAGCACTCTGACTCCAGTTTCTTCATCTGGCCCACCTCATCTTTGTAGAGAAAGAACATAGTAGGGGCTTGGCATACTGGAGGTGCTAAAAACTGGTAGTTCTCTGCCACTACCTATGGGCTGGGAAAGGATCCTATCCTGAAAGTCTCCAAGTGATGCAAGATCCTGAGTAGTCTGACTATGTACATGACCGGGGTCATCAGGGAGGGAGTAACTCTGGGTCTCAGGATTCAACAGACTCTTTGGTGTTTCCCAGTCATGCTTGCCTCTCAGGAAGAACTGTACCTACTGTGTGCCCAATGGACCAAAAGATGGATACCAATCTCCTGTGGTCTCATAGATGCCAACCCTTGAGGTCAGAAAAAGCCTATCAATGACTCTCTGATGGACTGAGACCAAACCAAACCCTTTTCATTGGATTCCTAACTCAGGTAAGATGAGTTTCCTGCCTTTATTGGTAGGGATCGTGAGAGCAACATGGTGCAGAATCAGTGTGGCATATATGGGAAGCCCTGAGAAAGAAGAGATGGCAATCTTATGTTAAAACTGCCCATCCAGCCACAGATATGGTCCATGCCCCTAAACAAAGGAGGATCCGCTCAGAGCAGCCAGCAGCACCTAGAAGAGGGTGGGTGCTCATGAGCATAAGGCTACAGATCAAGTGCAATACCACTTAGCAGCCAACTTGTCCCAACTCTTCTCTCCTGTGACCCTTCCATCCATTGTCCGGATCCAGTTCACTGTGGGAACAACTTGTGTCCCTCAACAAACACCCCATCTCCCATCTCAATCCAGACACTGGGGACAACTTTTTATGATTTAGTGTCACAGAGAAAACTGTGGATGTGTAACAGGGACTACACAGTGAGGTGTCCTTCTCTCAGCAGGATGGCATTGGCTGGCTCTGAAAAAACCCTCCCTGCTCAGAGGCTATGAAATGGGAGCCCAGAGGGACTGTCCACCTTGAGGGCAGGAAATGGGAATGCAGAAACAGAGCTGGTGTCCTGCTGGCCCTCCTCTAATACCAGATTCCTTAAATGCCTTTGAGCCTCATTTTCTTATAGGAAAATGGGAACAATGATGCCCAAGTCATAGGGTAATTGTGAGATCCAATGAGTCCACGTATTCCATAATTCTCTGTCAACACAAAAGAAACACCACCGCGATGTGCTAACTATAATAAGTTTTACCTGCTCCTCAATCAGGGCCCACTGAATGGTCCCCAGCTATTTTCAGTTTCCAGACACACAATAGATACTAATAAACACATCAGGTAGCTTCATGATTGATTCCAGCACTGCTCTTGGTCAAATTCTTTAACTGTCAACTCCTACTCATGACCCAAACAGTAGCACAGTGGTGGCCATAGGCAATGACAGGGGGGTCACACTATACCATGAAGTCAGGGTAGAGGGGCCGACCTGGATCTCACCCAGCATGGAAGAGCTCAGGGTGCCTTGGGAAAGGGTGAGAATGACTTACTGGTGCCGCCTACATCCATCCACCCCAACCCTTCATGGAACTGAGTCACTACGGTTTTTTGTGAAGTCGGTTATTTCATCTCTTATAAAATGTAGCTTCCATTCATTTTTCTAAACTGCTCCTGCAGAGATGCAGGCTCAAGTGCTCATTTCAAAGTTTCTCATTTTTTTTTTTGAAAAAAATTATCTATGGTTGAAAATAATTTCTATTCACATGTCAGTTCACCAAAGCAGTGTGATAGCACCACGTTCCTCAGAGCCCCACCACCCACAGATTAGGAACCACTGATCAACTTGACATTTATTTTATAATTAGAAGTCCCTAGGCCTGGCTGGTGATCAGGGCTGATCAGGTTCTCCGCCTCCCGGCCTCCTCGCCTCCTCCTTCCCTTACTCCCTCAGCACCCCCTCTGATGCTGCTGGTCGCCCGCCACGGTCCGCGCCACCCCCTGGTTGTCAGCGCATGTCATAGTGAGCAATAGAACTCTTGGTCTCCTGGTCAAACTCTGGAGGGGACAATTTGCATATTAGTCTTTTATTATATACTAGTAGCCCTGTGCACGAATCTGTGCACCAGTAGCTTGCCAGTAGCTCGCTGCCGCCCTCCAGGAGCTCTCTGCCCACTGCCCCGCCCTCCTGTAGCTCCCCCGTCCCCCCACCCCATAGATTGCTGCCCTGCCCCCTCCTGTAGCTCTCCACCAGCCAACTTGTAACTCGCTGCCCCACCCTCCTGCTGATCCATAATCCGGTTGTTACGTGCATATTACATCTTTATTATATAGACTAATAAGAAGGATAACCATGTGCCACCAAGAAGCAGCTGATTGTAAACTTTCAAACACCCAAATTCAAGAATTCTCAAAAAAAAATCATAGATTGGAAGGTGACACTCGGACTGAGACAACATCAGGGAAGGTTAAGAATACAAGGGGGAGATACAAAGGGCACGAGAATGGGTGAGAATCAGAATAAATATTTTGAATGTTGATAATGCAGAACCCCTTGTAGGAGCCCTGGTCCCTCAGCTCCACTGCAGCCTGAGAAGGTGCAGATGGCAAGACAAGCAGATGGGCAGGTTTGGGAATAGCAGGAGAAGGGAAGGGAGGGGCAGAAATCAACGCAACCCGATATAAGTGGCAGGTTTGTTCGCACATGCTTAGAGAGAGAGAAAAGACAGCCAAGCCCAGTGTAACATGACAGCCTGGCAGGATGTTTATGCCCAGAAGCTGGGACACTAAAATATTTCAGCCAGTTTTCTGCCTTAAACTCTACAAGGGAAATGCAGCTAACAAAGGCTGCCCATGTTACATGCTCAACATGATGCTAAAATTACCATTCCCTTTTCTTTGGGTTAGACAGACTGTCACAACCTTTGTCTCCACGGCACCGGGGCTGTGGTCACCAGCTGGAGGCTCCCACACTTCCCCTCTTATTTTCTCATTACACACATCCGCATGTAAACACGTGACCGTACACATACAAACATGCACACACGAACACACACATGCTCCCAGCAACAACGCAGCCATCTGGACAGCCATGCTCGCCTGCGACACCTTCTTCCTTCTCAGTTCTGACAGCTTAAACCCAAGAATCATCTGCCGTCAAAGATGCCTGGTATTAAAAGAGGCAGAATGAGCTGAGGATGAGGAGGTGAGGAGTAGAAGAGGATGGAGTAGGAAAGAGGATGTCAGGAAGGGAGAGCTACATGGAGGGAGACAGAGCAAAGAGACAGGCTTGGATCCTGCTACTCTACTAACAAACGGTCCTTTCAGAATTGTTGATTGAGAAAAATCCCTAATTCCAAAAAAGATCATGGTCCACTGTCCATGACCCCCATCATTGCCTGCAGACATGATGTTCACTTCCCTCTCTTCCATCTGGTACCATGACCCCTCGGGAGAAAGTGCTCATTTCTAACTCCCTTGATATTTCCTGTGTGTGTAGAGGATGCGGTACTTAGAAGACACCAGCCTTGCAGCTTGTACTTTGTGTCTATGTCCTGCAAATTATTCAGTTAATGAGTTTCACAGAAGAAACGATTGTGTCCCAGTATCACTGTATCCCTCAGAGTGTCTAATCCACATGCAGTAGATACTCATCACTGTCTTGTAGTAATGAGTGAATACATAAATGGGTAAGTGCATGAATGAACTGGTTAAATGGATATAAAAAGAAATTGATTGTGAAAAGTAATAAAGAGGAAAAGGTCAGAAGAGTAGAAGATATAAAAAAGAGAGAAGAAAATATGTTTTGAGCTGTGCATGCCATAGGGAGGTCTGGCTATCAGGAGTGATCTATTGCCAACTATCTGAGGTCTCTATAACAGTGTAGCACTCATCTGAGCAAGCTATAAAGGAGAATGCACTCTTGAATTACATGGGTTTGATTGAAAGGTCATCTATGAAGCAATAGTGACTTTATCACATGGTTACTGGGAAGTTTCTCTCATTGGGTTTTCTAACAGAATAGCACTGGTCTACTCAAGACCATGCAGGGCTTCCATCCGTCCACTTCTACATCCATCATCTGTCCATCTATTTGTTTATTCACCACCCATCCGACTGTCCATCCATCTGTCTTCCCAAGGGCATTTGTTTAGCCCCAGCTGGATGCAGATGACTGGGCCCTACTATGGCTTGGATATACATTGTTGCTTTTGTGCTGGGCATACAAAAACCCCTCAGAATTAAGCTCCCTCTCAGAGGTGAAGAATTATACCCATGTCCTCCATGGCCACAAATGCCCATCACTGGACGCCTGTACTCCTGGGGGGCTGGGGGGTGGGGAGGAGGCCTGAGGGCAGATAACAGGATGGGTATGACTGCAGCTTTGTTCCTGCACCGAGATGGACAAAGAGCCAACCACAAAGACAAAGAAGAGCAGCGAGGCCTCCAGACTTACCAGCTTGGTTTGTGGTAATGTTGACAGAGACGTGTTGTGGGGGAAAGGGGCTCTTGCTGGAGACTCCATTGACGGCCTGGATGTCGAAGGTGTAGGGGGTGTGGGCCCACAGGCTGCTGATGGAAACTCGGCACTCGGTCAGGCCCAGCTGCTTTGGCAAAAACTCCACATTGTCATCACAACGGGAGCAGTTCCGGCGGTCGGCCCGGCATTTTTTACAGATGATGTATAGGTCACATCATCCCGCCC